TTATTATTTGATTAAATATTAAATGTCTCATTTTGATAAACAGGTCATTAAATGGATTAACAAGTTTACCCATTTAATAAACAGGTCGGGTTAATGTTGAAAGTTATTGACACGATTATTAAATGGTTCGAGTTTGGATTTACCGATTTAATATCCTTACATCGACACGACATGATTATAACCTACGAACACACAACCCCTAATATTTATCCCTATTCTTTGATCCAATATTATTTCAAGTCAAATTTTATAACTTCAAAGATTGTGAATGTATTTACCCTTTTATTGCCATTAATCTAGCCACATGATTAATGTGGCAAGCCTACTACTATATAAAAGGCTCACAAAGTTTTGAGATTTTCCACAATATGTTTTTACAAATTTTAATCAATTATATATATATATATATATATATATATATATATATATATATATATTGTAGTGATGTGGTGAGTAATGAGTGAGTAATATACTCACTTTTAATTATTGTTTTGAAATCTAATTATATGATTAATTGAAGAGAGAGTTATTTTAAGAAATTATCATTCCTTTAATTATGGTTAAAAAAAATTCCTTTAATTAATATTAAATGTGAAATTACAATAAAGACTAATTCCTTAAAATAAAAAATCATCTATTCTCAACCGTGCAATTAATTTATGTATATGAATTAGCAGTTAAAAAATTTGGCAAAAACAAGTACTTACTGAATCATCAATTGCTTAGCCACTAGAAGAAGAAGAACAGGAAGACGAAGAAGAAAAAAAAAAAAAAAAAAATTATGGCCAGACCTATCACAACAGGATAAGAAAAATAAAATACAATAAAAAAAGCAACCAGACACCACCACCGATGTCATCCCCACCACAATAGAAACAAAAAAAAAAATAAATAAAAAAAAAAAAAAATAACCATTGTTGTTTTTATCTCACCATTCTCATCTATTTTCTCCTCTCCTCTCAAACTCACTTTCCTTTCTTTACCCATCTTAATCACAAATTCAACATTGTCACAGCCACAGGTCCACAACCACTACTATCTCACGGCAAATTTTCCTTAATGAGGAGTGGTGCAATTTACCCAAAAAAAAAAAAAAAATAACACAGTAAGAAAGGCGGGAACGAGAGAAATCGGGAAGAGATGGCGGCTAGGTACTAACATAAAAAAATAAAAAAAGTTAGAGATTAAGGTAAAGAGAGAGGTTTAATGATGATGATACTTTCGTTAATTATTATGATTAATATTTTGTAAATTAATTAAATTAAATAATTAGAGACAAATATACCATTTAAAACCATAAGAAGTGTCATTGTTAAAAAAATCGTTAACCTGCGTTTAAATGATATTGACTGAAACTTAAAAAAGGTGTAAGTGTAATTTATCAAAATAATAATAATAATAATAATATGGTTAATTACACTTGCACCCCCTGAGATTTGCCCTATTGACAACCAAATAAAAGTTGACCTATTTTTTTAACAATGACCACCCCTCAAGTTTCATAAAGTTAACAAATACACCCTCTGATCTTCTGCACATGATGAATTGACATTATTGTCCTTTGACTTGATAGTTGACCTATTTGGACTATGAAATTACCTTTTTAACCTTTACAACTCAATTTATTTAACTAAACTACCCTTTCATGCAAAAAAAAAAAAAAAAAAAAAGGTATAATTAATTATATATAACTGTAATATATATACATACACACACATACATGTATGGAAGTGGTGGTTCGTGTGAATGGAGGTTAGTACTACTAATATTAAATTCAGTATAATATAATGTAATATGAAAAGAGGAAAGTGGGACAATACCACTTGCAATGTGATTTTTTATTTTTTTATTTTATTTTATTTTTTTTGTGTGTGTGATATTTGATTCACACAACACCAATCCAAATTTGTTATATTAAAAATATAATAATATTTACATAAACTATATTGGAGGTGGGTATTTGATAAAACTATGGGTTATTGTCAAAACCAAAACAAAATTTGTACAAAACCATGTAGGGTCACCTCGTCTTCAATTCTTGTTCTCCAGCGAATGGTCTTGGTGCGAAGCCTCAATTTATTGTTAGGAGACCTGTAGGTGAGAAAATCTCCCAAAAAAAAAAAAAAAAAAATTACAAGTCCAGCAGCAGTACGTTCCCGGCGGATTCTGATCGAGCAGGTCAGATTCCGATGACAAACACAGTACGCAAGACCAAAATGATACTTGCAGCTCTGATTTGCTTCTGATTTTCAATTTAAAGAGAGAGAATGGTGGCTATGATTTGAGATCGTCATGGGTTTGATTGGGATTGTTGTGGGTTCAAATGGGTGGCGATGTGGTGGCAGGAAAGGTGAAAAGCGATAACCGGCGAGGTGCGAATGCCAACACGCCGGAGCCGAAGAGGACCAAACCCAGAAAATGCCGGCGGAGGCTGTAGGGATCCAGCGTATTATATTTATGTGTGTCTGTAAATGTACAAAATACAGTGTGTGAAGAAAGAGGAGTATTTGAGTCATTTAAATACTCTCATATTTTTAATCAAGGATTATTATTTTTTAAAAGGGTAATAATATCTTTTTTTATTTTTTTAGGAATTATTTAGCTGCAATTTATTATAAGGGTGTAAGTATTCAAAAAGTGATCAACTTTTATGTGGCTGGCAATAGAACAAATCTTAAAGGCTGTGAATATAATTAACCCATAATAATACTAAAAGAAAAGTACTTGTCCATCCTCCTTGTCCGGAAATAAAAGAAAAGTACTCCTTGTCCGTGTCCATGTGGATATAGTTGTAGTGTAGGTCGATTGTGAATTTTTGTGAGGGCTAGCAAAATATCTCCACGCAATGACAAAGACAAATTATAGCCTGGTAAATTGATACTTCCTTCTTTTGCATATTTGTGGGGTCACTTGTAATTAATTATGGGTCCATGATCTGGAAAAACATTAATTATGCTTTATTATCATTTTTTTTTTTTTTCCTAACGATCCTAATCCTATTTATACCTGCACATATAATTATATATATATATATATATATATATGTACGTATGAAGATGTATTTCTTTATGGGATTCTCTTCTTATTGGATTCTCTGTGGCGGGTGAAGTGAGTACGAAACCTGTGCTTGAAAGCATAACTCTTTACTAATCTACCTTTGGAATCGTTGGTGTTCACCAAAATAAGAGACAAAACTGTTCAAATTTTTATACTCCTAACAAGTTTCATGTCAATAAAAAAAAAAACAATTAAAAAAAATATTAAATTGAATTTTTTTTTTATTTTTATTTTTTTTTTTTATTCATATTAGACATTTTAAGCACACAAGGAGAGAAGTTGTTCGCACTCCATTGCTACGAAAAAAAAAATTTATATGAAAACTACATCAAATTCTTTCGGAATTTGGCATTGGAAAAGGAAAATAAATGGGATTGAATTTTTAATAAAATTTTATTTGTTTGTTTGGAATTATATACATTTTTCACAGGCTTGACCGAGGAAGATGATGAAGCCGAAGAAACCGTGTCGTTGACTCGCTTGTCGCTAGAGCCTGGATGGTTAAGACAGATTTACAATTTAGGGAGAGAATGAGAAAGAGAGATATAGAGAGAGAGACAGAAATTAGAAAGAGAAGTAAGGAAATTCAAGTGAATAGCTACCAAAGTGATGGAGAAACTGAGAACGACGGAGTCACGACGGTGTGTGGGTGTAGATCTGGGATGGTGAGAGGCGACTTCAAAGTTCAACCGCAAGAAACAGAGTTACAGAGGCCTGAGACGGTGTGTGGGTCTGAGAAGATGAGAGACTAATCGGCAATACAGAAGATGAGAGGACTGAGGAGGCGATACAGATTATAGAGGATGAGATGACTAAGGAGGGGACGCGAGGCGGCTTCAAAGATCGGAACTTGAGAAGGTAGGTTTAGGTTCACTCTTGAGTTTTCGTGGTTTACATCAGGTGACTCAAGTCAATAAGTCAATGATCAGATACAAAACAAAAGCACTAAGGTGAACCATGTGGTGAGTGACTGAGTGCTGCCTTTGAAGTGGTGTTACTGGTGAATGACTATGTAATTAATTATATATATAATTAAATATATAATCATATATATATAGAGATATATATATACAGTTCGGTTTGGGTCCTAAGGATTTTCATGTATGAGTCTGGAATACTCATAATTTCAGATTTTTAAAACCGAACCGAAGTCCTGATTCGGTTTTGTTCTTTGGTTCCATAATTTTTTTGTGCACCTTATGCATATTACATATTTAGGGCTACGTTTGGTATCTTAAAAATAATAAAAAATTATAACATTAGTTACGAAAAAAAGAAATGAGTGAATAATGTTAACGTTATAGAGATTCATTGTTGGATGAAGAAAAAAAGAAAAAAAAAAGAGAGAGAAAATGATAATAATCATGTTTTGTAAGAAAATTATTTTAATAATATACCACAAAATCATTTTTTATAAAAATAAAAATAAATTTAGTATTGAATTTTTTATTAAAATATTTATCTTTTCATCCATTTCCTTTCATTTTCAAGGATGATAACAAAATCAATTCATCAAACTTTCCAAATCCTTTCACTTCCTCTATTCTCTCTCTAAAATTTTATACTGAACACGAGAAAAAGAAAAAAAAAAAAAAACAAAGCATCTCCCCATTTCCCTTCTTTTATTTTCATTCCATTCATTTCTTTTAAATATATATATATATATATTTTATAATTAATCCCAGTTTTTTTTTTTTTCGAATATTTAATCCCAGTTTAATTAGTCAAATATTATTTTACATGTGACGTGGTAATACACCTACAAAAAAATCGTGTTTCACATTGGAAGTTTGGGACCCAGTTTCAAAAATTGAGTATTAAAAACGACAATTAAAGAATGTTTGGACCAATCACCATTTGCTGACGTGGACTTATCCCAATCATTAATTCTTTCTTTAATTTCCAATTTTTTATTTTATTTTAATCATAACATAAAAAAATAATGTATGCATATCTCAGTCTCTGTAAGTTCAAAGCTAGTTGTTGGAGAATAAACAAAGTGAAGAAAGATTCTTGACCGACCTTGCAAGACTCTTTTAAGCTTCTAAAGCTCTCTCTCTGCTACATGTGAAAGAGAATTTGTTCCGTTCGGTGGTTTTTAAGCGTTTTATGTATGTATTATGTGTAAATGGACTCCAAATGTTCAACGATCTATCAATAGACAATAGGGTGTGGCTTTCAGGTAACATTCATGTCACCCAACAACTTCTTCGAAACTATGATGATTAATAATTGTGTCCTTTTCTTTCAATTTCTTATATCATCCATGTGGGTTCTTTAATACTGATGAATATTAACCTATTTTTTAATATATTTATTGTTTGTATACATATACACACATACTGTGTGGATAGCACAATAATGGGTATGTGAAAAAGCAGCTGCTGAATCCGCAGCCAAAATTTGCAGCTTATGTCCACCCACGTGAACCATCTGCAGATTTATCAATTTCCTTTGTGTGAGTTTGATTATTTCCCATTCTGAATATAATAAATGTTTTACTTCTAGTTTCCCATGTTCATACCGGTATTTACTATCCAAGTTGCTCTATATATCTTGGATTTTAGATTCAGATCGTTGTATTTTTGTTGTTTTCTGCTGATTAATATTTCATATTCTATATCTAACTTTTGTTATTGAGATGGGTACTAAGAGTCTTAGAATACCCATGTTGGGAAATCCTTGTACTCTCTGTCTCCAAACTATGTTGTAAGCTTTATTTTCATGCTACATCTGTCAACAGGTGCTTAATTTCTTATATTGATGCTAATATGAGCTGAAGAATTCAATCTGTCAATTGCTGGATTCCTAAGTAATGAAGGACTCTGTATTCACGGGGAGAAGATTAGTGGTGTTCATTTTTCTTGTCTGGGTGCCTATGGAAGTCATGGGTCAGACTGGAAATGTTAGTAGTGTCTCTTCTTCAAGGCCTAGTGTTGTGAATGTTGGAGCTTTGTTCACTTTCAATTCGGTTATTGGACGATCCGTGATGCCGGCGATTGCAGCTGCATTTGCTGATGTCAATTCTGATTCGAGGGTTCTTGCCGGGACAAAATTGAATATTATTAAACATGACACCAATTGCAGTGGGTTTCTTGGAACTATTGAAGGTAATCTCTCAACACAGAACCTTTAACACATGAATAATTGATTGTTTTCTGTTTAAGCTACTGATTGACATTTCCTGTAATTGTTATTGGGAAGATAACTCTTTATTTGGGGCATCCAAAAATGGAATTTTCCATTGATTTTATAATTCAGAAGATGCTTTAGAAGGGAAATTCTAGTCTTTTGATTGAGGACTGCACAACTTATTTAAAATAGAGACCGTCTATATTAGTTGTCCTTGTTCCAATTGAATTTGCAGTTTTGAATTTCAATTGTCTGTTCATGTATGACATTGTGTTATGTTGCTTATAAAATTCCAGTATCAATTTCTTATAAATGCAATACTTTTTCATCAACTATAGTTTTGGTAGCATATTTAAAGTTGCCCTATATTTCTTCTGCTGGAGTTGTTCCTAAGTATTGACTTGAAAATGTTGTCTAGCCCACCTATCCGCAATAAATGAGAAGGCATCTGATGAGTTGCAAATTCTTTGTGAGTATGATCTGTATAATTAGTAAATGATGGGCTTTAGCATAAATGATTATTATTATTTTTCCTTTTCTTTTCATTTGTTCTTTGGTTGGCTTGATGGCCCAGCCCTGGGTTGTTTATCTATGCCGGCTTGAGTTGTCCACTTGTCCTTGGTTGTTCTTTTGTTCCATTGGTGTGTTATCTCTAAAGTATTGAATTTTGATGCCAGAAATGTCGTGTAACGTTTTTTTTTTTTATCTTTCTTTGCAATGAAATTGTGCAGATATTGGTATGAAGTAGCAGCATATTTGAATTTTATGACTTACTAAAAAACCACCTATTAAGTATGCCTGTCAATTAAGTTGATAAACAGCCTGAATAAATGAGAGATACTGGGGTGGAAGCATGATGATAAACAAACTTGTTTTGGTTGTAACAGAACAAGAAGCACTTCTAAAAGATTTGGTCTGCTTGATTTACAAGGAGCCATAATATAATTAACTCAAAGATACTATGAACAGTCTTTAGCACTTTATGTCTGAAATTGTACTTTTGTGACCATTTATCAATAATAGTAACTTAATTATGACCAAAATCCCCTTTTTGTAAATGAGAATTGGGGATGGATAAAAAAAAAAAATTGTTTCACCAACTGCTCTCTCTGTCTCTCTCTCTCATACACACATTAGAATAAAGAGATGCAAATTTGACCACACTTCCTTACTCATGTAGCTTTGCAGCTGATGGAGAAAGATGTAGTCGTTGCAATTGGCCCCCAGTCCTCTGGAATAGCACATGTTATCTCCCATGTTGCTAATGAACTACATGTACCACTCATATCATTTAGTGCGACAGACCCCACTCTTTCTGCATTGCAGTACCCATATTTTCTACGCACCACACAGAGTGACTATTTCCAGATGTATGCAATAGCTGATTTGGTTCAATTCTATGGGTGGAGGGAGGTAGTTGCCATCTTTGTAGACGATGATTATGGTAGAAGCGGGATTTCTGTATTGGGTGACGCCCTTGCAAAGAAGCGCGCCAAGATTTCTTACAAGGCTCCCTTTAGTCCCGGATCCAACAAAAGTGATATCATTGACTTGTTAGTTGGGATAAACCTGGTGGAATCTCGGGTTTATGTTGTACATGTAAATCCTGACTCTGGTCTGACAATATTTTCTGTAGCAAAGAGTCTTGGAATGATGGCAAATGGCTATGTTTGGATTGCGACAGATTGGCTTCCTTCAGTTTTGGATTCGTCAGAATTAGTTGATGCTGACACAATGGGCCTCTTACAAGGGGTTATTGCTCTTCGCCATCACACTCCAGATTCTGATCTCAAAAAGAGATTTACATCTAGGTGGAGAACCATAAAAGATAAGGAAACCTCGAGCTTCAATTCTTATGCACTCTATGCTTATGACTCTGTTTGGCTAGTTGCCCATGCCCTTGATGCTTTCTTTAATGAAGGTGGAAACATCTCTTTCTCTAATGACCCAAAGTTGCACGACACCAAGGGAAGTGCACTGCACTTAACATCACTCCGTATTTTTGATGAAGGCCAAAAATTGCTCCAGAAACTTATTGCAGTTAACTTCACAGGTCTAAGTGGTCAGGTTCAATTTGATCCAGAGAAGAATTTAGTTCGTCCCGCATATGATGTGCTTAACATTGGTGGAACAGGATCACGCAGGATAGGTTATTGGTCAAATTATTCTGGTCTCTCTATTGTTGCTCCAGAGATCTTATATAAGAAGCCCCCAAACACTTCTGCCAGTAATCAACAACTTTATAGTGTAATATGGCCTGGTGAAACTACAATACAGCCTCGGGGATGGGTGTTCCCCAACAATGGGAAACCGTTACAAATTGCAGTGCCATACCGAGTAAACTATCCAGAATATGTAACTAAAGACAATGACCCCCCAGGGGCGAGAGGATACTGCATTGATGTCTTTGAAGCTGCATTGAAATTGTTGCCTTACCCTGTTGTCCACGAGTACAAACCGTATGGAGATGGTCAGAGAAACCCTGTCTACAGCAAGCTTGTGAATGACGTTGCTGAAAATGTGAGTACCTGCTTTTAAATTTATAATCTCGAGTAGTGGTGTAATGTATCTTATTGCTGAATAGATTTAGGTTTGTGACAGCATCACTGAACAACCCCCTCTCCTAAAATAAATAAATAATATAAAACTAAAAACTTGCAGTACTGCATTGACTTTAGCATGAATCAAATATTGTGTGTACATGCGCTTTGCTTGTGTGTAGGTAAATATATCCTCTGTAGGACTATTTGGGGTAGGTTTTGTGATATTTGTTAGTGTTGGTCTGAGGTTTTCAAAGTCATTCTGAAGGATAGGTTGCAGTAATTATCCTGATTTACTTCACTTTTCAGAAATATGATGCAGGTGTTGGGGATATTACAATTACTACAAATAGGACAAGGATTGTGGACTTTACACAGCCTTACATGGAATCTGGACTTGTCATAGTTGCTCCTGTCAAAGGGAGAAAGTCTAATGCCTGGGCTTTCCTCAGGCCATTTACGTGGGAAATGTGGGGTGTAACTGCTGCCTTCTTTCTTTTAGTGGGAGCTGTTGTTTGGATTCTTGAGCATCGGATGAACCATGAATTCCGTGGTCCACCAAGGCAGCAACTTATGACAATCTTTTGGTTAGTATCTTTTTAACTCATCAAGTCTTCTGATCTGAATAAAGCCACAGCATGTCTTACGGGAAGATAATGTCAAAGCATTTGATTGTTGGACTTGGATTTTGCTCGGGCTTGCACCTCCTTGACATAGCATGAGACCTTATTTGCTAAAACACTATATGCGGGTGCTATACCTCCAATTATAAAGATATATAAACAGCCATGGAAAAAGGAAACTGATGAGCATAAATATGAGTTGATTACCTGAATATTTTATAGTAGACTATATAATGGATGGAGACATAGGTACTAGGTTATAACTCTGAAATTTTCTTACTTTTAATTAAATTAATTAAGAGGCAATTTTGGCTAGTGCTACCCAATTATCCTTCCTGGAAATGGTCCAGGTCACATGAATGACAGTATAAAAAACCAGGTTAGATCCTAATTTAGCCTTGCCTTCTGGTCGACCCTTTTTTTAAAGTACACCTACTTCGTGTTGTTATATGTTAAGTACTCATGCTAAGATTGATTCTATTCTTGTCTAGAAAAAAGAATACTAAGAGATGGTTTTTAACCTTGCAGGTTTAGTTTCTCGACAATGTTTTTTGCACACAGTAAGTAAACAACCCTAGTCGCTTATGCTTTCTTCTTTTAAGTTATCACATGGTTTTTTCTAGTTAATTGTGATGTTGGGAAATTTTTGCTTGAAACTTTTAATATTCTTCACTGTTTGGACTCAATGCAGAAGAGACCACTGTCAGCACCCTGGGACGCATGGTGTTGCTCTTATGGCTCTTTGTGGTTTTAATTATCAATTCAAGCTACACAGCTAGTTTAACATCAATCCTGACGGTGCAGCAGCTGACATCACAAATTGAAGGGATTGACAGTTTGATTTCAAGTAACGTACCAATTGGAGTTCAGGATGGGTCATTTGCATATAACTATCTGATTGAAGAACTCAACATTGCACCGTCTAGACTCAAATTCTTAAGAAACCAGGATGAATATTTGACTGCCCTTAATCAAGGTCCAAACGGTGGTGGTGTAGCTGCCATTGTTGATGAGCTTCCTTACATTGAACTCTTCCTGGTCAACACCAATTGCAAATTTAAGATTGTGGGACAGGAGTTTACAAAAAGCGGATGGGGATTTGTAAGTTCCTTCACAGTATAAGATTTCCAGATGCAAATACTATGGAAATTAAACAGTGCGTGTTAGATGCTGCCTATTTTATTTTGCATATACTAAAAAATACAACATTGATTTAAAAATCATACTAATTTATGCCAAATTCGTGTTCCTTTTCCTTATTCTCCTCTGCAATATTTGTATAATCTTGATTGATGGCTGCACTGAAAGCATTCAATTGGTTTTGGGGTCCTATAAAAGAGAGATATATTAGATTGACAATATATAATTGAACCATATTCTTTCTGTATCATGCACTATTAGTCCAAATTTACGAGTTCCTCCATTATGATTCTCAAGTTCATTTTCTTCCACTCAGGCATTCCAGAGGGATTCTCCTCTTGCAGTGGACTTGTCAACTGCCATTCTTCAACTCTCAGAGAATGGTGATCTCCAAAGAATCCATGATAAATGGCTATTGAAGAGTCAATGCTCGGCACAAACCAACCAAATTGACCAAAACACTCTTGGTCTCACGAGCTTCTGGGGCCTATTCCTTTTATGTGGCGTTGCTTGTTTCATTTCTCTTTCTGTGTTCTTCTGTAGGGTGTGCTTGCAGTACCGCAGGTATCTTCCCGAGGATGAGGAACAAGAGATTGAGCGGCCTGAACCTGTAAGGTCTAGACGCACACTCCACGTAGGTAGCTTCAGGGACTTGATTGATTTTGTTGATAAGAAAGAAGCTGAGATCAAGCAGAAGCTCAGGCGGAAGACTAGCGATTCCAGCAACAAACAAGAAGCTAGCCCGAGCTCTGATGGGCAACCCAATTCACCTTCCTAAGGAACATTTGTTCTTGGGCTGCTGATTTTTTTATTTTTTTTTTGTAATTTTAAACCATTAGTCCTGCACTTGGGTGAGTATATATGATCAGTATACAAAAACTTGTATTATATGTTGCTATGATATCAAAGGTTAGGCAGCTAGAATGAAAATGTCATCTATATATTCCTATATTACTCTCTGAAAATCAAATTAAACTTTTGATTTTTAGTTTTTCAATAATCAAAACTTTTAGCTGATTTTAATTTTTATTTATATCTGCTTGACTTGTTGATATCTTCTTGAATGGTATTCTCAAAGAAGATCTTGTTCCCATTTACCGAACATAATAATGTTAATGGTCTTTGTGGCTCCCATTAAGCATGGACTTTCAAGATAGATGACCAAAAAGTATTGTTATTGTTTTAGATTTGTTTCTTGGAACTATTGATTTGAGGCAACATTTAGTTTGACAAAGGGGTGTAAGAGGTTTGAGGCTGAGGTTTTTGATCTTTTGGTCAGTAGCCTATAAATAAAATTCTATAGTTAATTTTTTTTTTTTTTTGGGGATAATTATATTTACCTTCCCTATAGATTGCCTAATTAATAGAAACCTCCTCTATAGTTTCAAATATAACACTAATCTCCCATTTTAGTGTTGATTTTAACCAGAAAGTGTTAAATGACTATTATAACCATTGTACTTTGTTAATTTTTGATGTAAAATATCTATTTCTTTATAAACAAAATAGTTTTTTCAAACTTTCTAAGGATATTCTTGAATTTTAAGTAAATATTGAACATGACATCAGAAAACAAACAAGAATGTGAGATTTTATGATAGGAGAAATCATTATTACAAAGACTTACACCTGAGGGGAGGTCACTATTATATTTGAAATGAGGGGGAGGTGAGATCCTGTTATTTAGGTAATTTACAAGAGAGGTAAGTGTAATTATTCCCTTTTTTTACATAGAGTTTTAAAAAAAATTACTATTTTTATTTATTTAAAAAGTTTAAGCAAATACACCCCTACGATATTTGTCCTTAGTCTGAATTCTCAACCTCCTCTTGAGGAGAAAAAATATAACCATTTAAACTAATAAGAAGATCAATTTGATTACTCTCCAACTTGAGACACATCATATCATATGATTCATCAATTTTAATAAGAAAGTTGCATTCCCAATCATGCAATTTCAAAAGATTTTAGAAGATCATACCAATTAAACAAGAGAATAATATAACCAACCTTCACGGTTGATTTAATATAGAAATTTCAACTTTTTCAAATCACCACCAACCTATATCATTCATTATTCAATTAATCAATTTAGTTGATGGTCTATTACTAGGTTCTATTCTATGACCCATTTTTTTTTTTTTTCCATCAAGTGGACCACAACAGAATTTCCGTTAGAAAATTAGGAGAAAGACAAATATGTGCCATGAAAACTAGTCCTCGTGGCAGATTCTTCTACAACCATTTGTTCTAATTGATGGAACCTAGAACATGATTGAATTGACTTTTAATTTTTGTGGCCATTTCTTGTTCTAATTGAATTCATCTTTATATCTAGGTGGCCTCCTATCCTTTTACCTAACACTTTATTGGTTGCAAGAGATTTTTATATCAAACTGTATCCTGTGGTCCTCTTTTGCTATTGACAAGAGCAGATGATTCAATTATACGAGAATACATATTAATTCTCAAACAGTTATGCTTTGGAATGGGATGGATATTTCTTGAGTACTTAAGAAGATGAATCATGATTTCAACTTTTAGTGTAGTTTAATTTAGCCCACCACATCATTCCATTAAATTCCTCCATACAAATCTTACACTGATAATGAGAAAATATTTTTAAAAATAATATAAAAATAAAAATAGCCAGCATCAACAGTTACTCAACAAATTACTCACACATACACTCTTTAACGTGTCTTATTTTGATCTCTTATAAAATTTGACGCGTGTGCTCAACCACACTGTCAACATTTTGTTTTCGGTAGACCTTTCAACCAAACTTTATAAAATGACAATTTTATTCTTTCCTAATATAAAATGCAATTAAATATATTATTATAATATAAAGACATTATTGACTTTTCACACTCAATATATCTTTTGAGCTAGATAAACGAGTTCAAACACTGAATAGGCTCCCCGAATTTAATTTTTTAAAACCTTAAAAAAAAATTGATGCAATTTATCTAAAAAAAAATGAAACACTTCAAAGATAAGATGATTTTCACAAAAAAAACATTTTTGTTTTTTGTTAACAAAGAGTGTTCCTATCCCGATTGAGACAAGTCCCTTCTTCGACTTGTGCCCGCAATCATGGGAGTCACACCGTGTTATTAAACATCTTTACACGTTGAGAGACTTTATGCCAACTCTATGATGATTCACAAACCTTATGTTCAAAATAACCATCAAATGAAAGCTACAAAAGCCAAATAAAAGCCAATTAAGCCGGCAAATTTGACTATTTTATTGTTTGGCCCCTAAAACCGGTCAACCGTCCCCATGATGCGGCCTCCACAAGAAGTGAGAAAAATAGTGAGTTCTAAAAATACCAACACTAGAGAAATATGAGACCACAATATGCCAAGCTACCATTTTCATGGCCACTAGAGCTCTTGAGGCCATCCGTAGCATGACTCAGCTTTGCCGAATCCCATTGCGCTTCAAGCTTAGAAGACGAATCCTCCGACGAGTCTCCATCCTCCGCCGCCACCTCCTGATGCTCTGGAGCCAAGTCCTCTCCTGCGTGATTGGGAAGTCGGTCCATTATCGACCACTACCACGCGCCACCATCTCTTCCTCTTCTTCTTCCCCCTCTCCGGGCGCTGTCAAGTGTGGATTTGCACCCGAGGACTCCCCATCCCCGAACTGCGATCACCACAAGGATTCTTCGGATTTGGTTGCTTTGAAGATCAGTCTTTTGGGTGATTGCCAGATTGGGAAAACTAGTTTTCTGGTTGGTCTAATTTTATGTCTATGACATATTTTCTTCCACTTTCCTGGCAACCAAACAAAGCATTATGTTTTTTTAGTAGCATTGTTAATGTAATGCTGATCATTTTTCTTTGACTTTCCCTTTTGTTATTCATCAAAGACAAAGTATGTAGGGAAAGAGAAAGAGCAAGAAGACCTCCAGAACACAGGATTGAATCAAATGGACAAAACACTGTGTGTTAAAGGGGCACATATTACTTATAATATCTGGGAAGTGGAAGGTATGTATGCATGCAAACATGTATGTGTTTATATATACACACAAATATTGTATGTATAAATTGAAATGCTAGCACAATCTTTGTGGCAGATGAACTGAGATTAATCTATCAATTAATATTTTGATGGTGTAGGAGACGAAAATACTCAGAACAATGTCCCAATCGCTTGTAAAGACTCTGTAGCAATGTTATTCATGTTCGATCTAACAAGCCGATGTACTCTAAATAGGTATATTTTCAGCTATCTAATCTTTGGTATGTTATGTGAAATGAGTGTAGGATGATTTACCTTTTGCCCTTGAGAATCCTTCACAATTATTTTCCTGGAATTGTGTGCAGTGTCATCAACTGGTATCAAGAAGCAAGGAAATGGAATCAGGTACTCACATTTCATTCTCTCCCATGTTCTTCATTTCTCTGCATTTCACTGTGTTTCAAAGATCATGTCAAATTTTATTTCAATAAAAATATTTCTCGATTGTTGCAGACTGCAATTCCGATACTAATAGGAACCAAGTTTGATGATTTTGTCCAACTGCCAATAGATCTGCAATGGACAATCGCAAGTCAGGTAATATTTTTTAATCTATAAATGAGCAAAATGGTGCAAGTTTTTTCAGAAATCTTCATCTACAAGCCACACAAATGAGAAAATATTTTGAATCAGTTCACATCAAAATGTAGAAAGGCAGTTTTTATTTTTTTATTTGTCAGAATGCTGGGAAAAAAGAAAAAAGAAAAAAAAGTTACAGAATATGTATCATGTGCTATTTTTACATTGTCAACGACAAAATAATACAATGATGATGTAAGTTAGAAAAACCATAATCAGTAATTCAGCAAGTGTAAACAAACGAAAACACTAGTATTGAACATGGAAAACAATTCAAACGACTTGGGAGAAAAAGAAAAAAAAAATTCCAAGTCAGTTCTTGAGGAATAAAGTTCTTGAACCATATGAAAAAGCAACAGATGGGCAAGTCCTCAGCTAGAATTTAGGCCATCATATATTACTAACGTAAAAACAGTACAGAGCTTTCTTGGAGAAAGGTCTCAGTAGGCAATCTTAACAAGTTCTGTATCTTATTCTCAACAGGCAAGAGCATATGCAAAGGCCTTGAATGCGACACTCTTCTTTTCAAGTGCGACCTACAACATCAATGTGAATAAGATCTTCAAGTTCATCACGGCAAAGCTCTTTAACCTACCATGGACTTTGGAACGTAATCTGACAATCGGGGAGCCCATCATCGATTTCTAGACTTCACCTTGGATCAGACCTCCTGCGGATTGCCAATTAGCACGTATAGAGATTGTTTGATCCTACAATAAGTGTTTAAATCAACCAGTCACTGGATCTGTCAGTGCTGTCAGTTCATAGTGAATATTTGAGTTGTTTCCTTTGACTATGATGGAGAGGAATTTAGAGGTGCAGTGCATGTCCTCATGTAACTCTGTGTCATTCCAAGTGTAGAAAGAGTTCTGTGGAGTAGGGGGAAAAATGAAATAATCACACATTAGTCTAATGTAGCTTATTATTTGATAAATGCAAGCCATGGAGGTTTATTTTTATTTTTTATTTTTTATTTTTTTTAAAGGAAATATATGATACATTTTCTCTGAGTGAATAGAATTGTAAAAGGTATTCTCTATGAAAATAATAATAATAATAGAAGGACGCTAGAGAGAAATCTATCAAGAAAAGTGAAGAGTGACAATTATGAGATGAACGGCAGCAAAAGGAACTTCAAGAGATGTGCAGATGCAAGAGTGAAATCCAACAGAAGAGAGCCAGCAACAAACCAAAATTACATAAACATCAGGTTATTCTTCTGCCGATGGCATCGTTATTAGAAGAGCGGGTATGGCACTTGTGCTCTGTGAAAAGGGCGTGGAACTGTTCTTTGGTGTTATATTATTTACTAGAACAAGTTTTTTTTTGTGTCAAAGATGTGTTCAAACACAGTAAGTGCATTTTCAGAACATATAAATACTATATATATATATATATATATATATATATATATATATATTTTGACTTAATTGTTCTAAAAAAACATGACTTCCTGTCCCTGTAGACTGCTTGGTTGTTCGGTAAGTTATACTTTCAGTTTCCCTGTCTTGTAATAGGTTAGATTTTTATAACCAATAAAACAGGCAAGAAGAAACATAAGGATTTCTCTGTCAACAAGTTCCAAGCAACCAGGCAAACTGTGACACTCCAAACTCAAAATTGTGAGTTGCCAGGCATTAATTGTACATCAACAAAAAAATGCACAAAAATTCACAGTTCTAAGCTCAAGTTACAAGAATACCCAAATAAGTGTTAAAAGTATATTGTCCATTTTGGTGGTAAGAGATTGCCCTCAAATGCTTGGTCCTGCGAGTAGAACACTCAAACTTCGGTGACCATTTGGAAGGGTTTGGAAGTTCATAAACTGCTTACCATCAGATTGTGACAATTGTATAATTGAATCAACTACATCACGTTTATGGCATAAAATTTCTGAAGAAGGAGACTCATTTGTACAGCAGATAAAGGAACCACATTAAATACATGATAGAGAAATGCAACAAACTAAATATGTGTGAGATAGATAAATAAAAACTAATTTGAATGTTATTGTGCTCTGATCTTTAATAATTAGAAGTCAAAAGCCAAGATGTGGGTGGACTCCAAATCGATATATTTGTCATATACTATTCATAGGTTAAAAGCTGAAAAATCAGTATAAATCCCATATAACATATATGCCATCAACAACAAAAACTAAAAATTACTTTAAAATCCAATCTAAAAATGGAAATAAGGGCATTACTCAAATTTCACTTGTGTCTTTGGGGAATGCAGTTGCAAATAGTAGATAAATAAAAACTAATTTGAATGTTATTGTGCCCTAATCTTTAATAATTAGAAGTCAAAAGCCAAGATGTGGGTGGACTCCAAATCGATATATTTGTCATATACTATTCATAGGTTAAAAGCTGAAAAATCAGTATAAATCCCATATAACATATATGCCATCAACAACAAAAACTAAAAATTACTTTAAAATCCAATCTAAAAATGGAAATAAGGGCATTACTCAAATTTCACTTGTATCTTTGGGGAATGCAGTTGCAAATAGTAGAAGGCTCTTTTGGTTCTTCCCTGCACATAAAACATTTGATTCATTCATCAGAAACAAAAATACTTCAGAAAGTAAATTACAGATTCCTACAATCAATACAGTGAATTAAATGTATGGAATTCCAACAACCGAAAACCTCAGCCAGCAAAGAAATTTAATGAAACATAATTCTGTCATTTACCTTTCTGGGGTTCTATGTGATGAATTACAAATCATTTGCTATGTTTCAAATAGAACCCAAAACAAAAGGGTGAAAAATGGGTGGATTCAAAACATGCCTGCATAGTACACAAGTAATATAAACTTAAAATATGAAAAGAAAACAAATTTACAACTCCGTTTCAGATTCATCAATCCATATCAAGGAAACACCCATATATGCAAATAAAAAACAAACAAAGATGAATCATGTAACTTGGAATTGGATTCAAGTGGGAGCACATTGTGATTGATTCACTTTCGCAATTCAAATATTAACACCAACCCACATTACCCACTGAGTATTCTCCAATGCAAGTATGCATATATGTAAATAAATAATTCATTGTATAAGTATATATGTATAAAGAAGAAGGTTTGAAATGTGGAATACTTGGATGACATCTTCGGGTGATCTGTGAGCCTCTTTGGGTGTCAATGTTCTCCCTCTGGAATGCCCCATGGGCTTTATCAGTACTCGTAGATGTTCTTCACTCTCTCTCTCATAGATCCCCTCTCTTCTCTCTCTTGATGGGAAGCAGAAATGAGGATTTCACTCCGACGGCTGGCAATGTTAATGGGTCGGACACATTACCCAGACCCGACCCATCATTTATTTTTATTTTGACTTTGAAGGACAATTATTTTTTTGAGAAAGGAAAAAAAAACAAATGGACTATTAAATTGGGATGGAAGGAATATTAAACATAATAATTTTATTTTTGGGTAATATATAAAATTCAGATAGATAAGTATGAAATTTATATTTAAATGTAAAATATTGAGTAATTATTTTTGTGTGAAATAATAATAACAGATCTTTGTCAAATAAGATACAAGACATCGAATCCTGTTTAAAAGATTGAAGTACAAATAGACTCTAAATCCAAATAAATTTGTTAAGAATTGATTTTTTTTGTCTAATTTATCATTGAACATGCACTTTATTCTAGAATATGGATTTTTAAATTTTTTTTAAGACTAAAAAGTACAAATAAGTGCCATTTTTCCATTATAAAGGCGACCAATTACTATATAATCCAAAACCAAAATTTTGTTTTAAATATTCAATAAATTTTAAAATTAGTTTTTTAAAATATAAGAAAATGTTTAAAAGGCTTCATATAAAAATAATATTTTAATAAAATTTTCATGTATTTTTCATTGTATGTGGCAAAATTTTCAAAGTCATGGCAATTTTCCACTAAAAAAAAAAAAACTTCTTAGATTTCATTTTCTTTTAAAAAAAAAGCTTTCCAAAATCGCAAATTAATTAAAAATTCAATATATAACAACATTAATGAAAGTTATGAGGACATTTTACTCTTTATAAAAAACGCTTAATGCTTAATCTTCACAATTATATATATTTATTTTCGAATATGATCAATTTTCTGACGACATGGTCATAGCAATTTTCACGCTTCTACACTATTTAATTATTTATATATAATCTGTTGAACATTCAACGCTTCAAGATCCTCTTTTTGCTACTCCCAAAACTGTACAACAAACGGAACCAGAGTGAGAGAGAGAGAAACAGTGATTCCAAATGGGGGCTCTGATAAAGCTAATAGACGCAATACTGTTTATCTTCTTCATGGTCTTCCCTGTTTTAGCTCTGGTTATCGACTCCCAAATTTGCTTTCCTGACAAGTACTTCCCTGACAACCTCGTCGATCTCAAGCTCTGGTACACACGCGAGTATGGGGATTACTTGGTGGACGAGAAGCCCAATTTCTTTGTGGGTATTGTATGGCTCGAGCTTCTCTTCCTCTGTCCTCTCTCCATCTTCAATCTCTTCGGTATTATGGGTGGCAAGTCTTGGTTCAACACCACTTGCTTGGTCTATGGCGTCTCTGCTTTCACTTCCATGGTATGTTTTTTTCAATTCTCTTCTGATTTTCTGGTGTTTGTTTTTCTTGTTTTTCTTGTTTTTGAGAAAATGAAGTGGTTTTGCAATATGCCTTTACTGCTTTGGTTTGTGTTTGGAAATTATTTATTTCACATTTTTTACATACTATACTTGAATTGAGTGGACAAAATGATGGTTGGTTAGTGTAATTTTCTAAATCTGGATCTGCCCTGCTTATTGAGAATTGTGATAATTGTTTTAGGGCTATATTTGGTGCATAGGAATATAATATCCAATGGAATGGAACGCCCATTTTAGCTTTCCGTTCATTTTCCACCGTTTGGTGCCACAATGACAACGAATTCTCTTGGAATTACCAAACACACACAATCATCAATTACTCACACACAACACACACACAAAATTCAACTGTAGTCACCAATCACACAAAAAAAAAAAATTTTTATAGTAAGGTTAAAGTGCCATTTACTCTATCTTTATGAAGTAACAAATAGATATCCCATTGCATTGTAGAATTGCAACAAAAAATAAGCTCGTGCTATGTTTGGGAGCACCAAATCCGCTGCTTGGATTTCCTCCAATTACAAATCCAAGGTGCCGATTCGGGGCTCCCACATGCAACATCAGTGAATTTATCTTATAAAATAAAGTCTTCTATCACATTCTATATATCTTGCTGATTTCATCTTGTTTCTGAAGGGTTTCATTTTCCCAAAGGGTGTTGGGGATGAATGACTTGGGTTTGATGGAATGATCATTTAAGTTTATTAAATCGTTTCTGTTTCAAAATTTTAATTCTAAAATACTACAATAATTAGGTTTAATAATTTATAAAAAATTAAATTGTGATATAATAATATAGTAATTGTGACATTCGCCGTAAATAAAGTTATAATAAATATTTAGCAAGAATAATATATAATAGAATATCAAATATTCTTATCGATAAATATAAAATGTACAATGAATCATGAAAGGGTCAACTCGAACTCGACGCATTTATAAATAGTTGATATCGATTTAGTTAAACGGTCTAAAAATCTCGACCCCAACCCTTAAAATTCACAACGTGGTTTATGGATCGGGGTAAAAATTTCTACTGCTAGCCAAGTGATTTCTCAAGTTGTTTCTCTCTTTCTCCTCATCTCACGCTCTTCTCTAAACAAATTACTCTACATTCCAACTTACCTTCCTCTGTTGTGTTTCTTCATCTTTCTTCAATTCCTCCCTCCCTCTCTCTCGAGGGAGGAGCAATAAGCCTTGAAAGCAGAAGAAGAACATTCGAAAAGATCAAACCCATGCAATATAGGAATCAATCAGAAGTGTACTTAACATGCTTCCAATCTCCATAGTGCCATTTGAACCTCATGACTCCACCGCCTTGACATAGACACGTCACTTGGCTCCAACTTTGAAATCAGAAGATGTGAAATAGAGGAGTTACAGAACCACTTGCCATAGGCGACCTAGCTGCCTCACAAACTGCCTACGAGAGACTTTCTGACCCGAAGCACCACCCAAAATGTGATGAATTTTTAAACTTGCATATCAGTGGTAGGGAGGCTAGGAAGTGATGTGATGAAGGTTATGGAAGGGAGAAGAGCCGTGAGAACAGGGAGGGGGAAGAAGAAGAAACTAGAGTTGAAACTCACATGGAGAGCTTTCTCTCTTTGTAATATATAGAGAGAAGCTCTCCTCCCCTAAGTTCTCCATGAAGGCCTCTCATAATTAGCACATTTCTTGATGAGATGACTAGTTCATCTCCAGTGTGGCAAAGTTATGTTGATTAAACGTACTGTGGAGTTGGAGGGCTTTGTACAAAAAATGGTGGATTAAATTTATGTGTTTATAGGAGCATTTCTGTAGGTCATACCCTTGAATGTAAGTAGGCAAGTTCTCCTTCTAGAATTCAGCATGGTTTGGCCATCTGACTAATTTCCCTTATTAGCAAAATATGTGATCTCCAGTGGTATACCTACCATGAATGGAGCTAAATAAAATTGGATACACTTATCCACAATTAAGAAAGTTGAACCTTTTGTTTCTTCCATCTCCGGGAGCAGATTCTCTTAAGTAAACTTGTGCAGTAAATTTGCAGTGGGACTCATTGGTTATCCAGTCGTTTTCTACATGAGTAACATGTCTTGCGGCCTAAGCGAAGAGGGTGAGTCACTCCTCATACTTTACAAACTCTCTATTTTTTTGTTCTTTTTTTTTTTTTTTCCCCCATTTTCTTTTCCTGGGGAATTTCACTGCTTTCAAATTGCCAAAAAGACAAGCTTTGTTTTCAGTCTCTCTCTCTCTTCTTCTCTTTGTATGTTCAGTTCTCTCTCATATCCATTCTCTTCTATCTTCTTTTGTTTCCTTTAGTTGACAATGAGTTGCAGACTGATAAGCTATAATTTATTGGGTTTTTCATACCATGAAAGGATGAAATAAAGAACTTCTGGTTTAATAGGAGATTTGATCCAATTCGTCCCCCACCCCAATTCTCTCTTGTTGCCCAAGGAAGGACTCTAGAGGGAGGGTGAATAGAGTCCTTGTCTAATAATGGCAGATTTAAAATTTATAGCAATGCAATTTTAGCAAGCTACTTAACACAAATATGCAATTTCATATAGGCAGAATTATAATAAACAAATTAGTAAGTTGCAGCAAGTATAAACTGAAATGCAAAGAGAAGAGATAGAGAAATTGCAAACATAGACACCGCGATTTTAGCGAGGTTCGGAAACTTCTACTCCTTGGCTCAAGACCCCTCTTGAGACTTCCTAATCCACTATGGCTCCTCCTTACGGGTGGAGAGCAAACCTTGTCTTTAAGCAACTCCTTGCTTCACCTTGTTAAGAGACAACCACTTTAGACTTCCTTTGGGCCAAACCAACCCTTACAATAGCTCTGCTAAGAGAAACTCCTTCTCTTAGTCTTTCAACATATTTGATAGAAATATGGAAGTGTTACAAACTCTCTCTCTCTCAAATATAAGATTACAACTCACTCTAGAGAATCAATGAATACAAGTGAACTTCACTCTCTAAGTATGATGTATATGAGGGGAATAATTATAGAACAACAGCTCTGTATCTAAGTGTAAATCTCAGAACGAAAACTCTGAATGAATGTCTGAAATTGCTCAAGAAATTCGCAGCTTCTCTCTCTCTCTGTTTTGGCTATGCAAGCTTGTGTAGGAGAAGATGATTGATTGTTTAGAACAAGAGCTCTATCAAAGAGTAATATCAGAATAAAAGCTCTATAGAATGGTAGAGCAAAAGCTCTCTTGGATGCACGAAAATGGCTCTCACAGCTTTGTCTTTTTAGGCTAAAGCACACCCTTTGCAGACAGCATATATCAGCATATATAGACTCTTCGTTGGTCAATAGCCGTTGTAAACCCTCTTCTAGATTAAGACATGTCAGTGCTGCATTTGGCAGAGAAACTTCATTTGACAAAGAAACCTTATTTGGTAGAGCAGCTCTGTGCATTGAGCAGACATCTAATTTGGAATTATGTATTTGGCCCTTTCATAGACAATATAGCTGTTGACTTCAAGAAAGAAACAATTCAACACAGCTAAGGAACAGTCAATATATCAATATGCGCATGGGTGAGAATCTGCAGAGTCATAGAGTAAGACATGGACTAAAAGACAGAAAAAATCTGTAGCAGCTTTATTTGACTCACCAAAGAAGTCGACTTAGTTGAGAACTAAGTCGGCTCAGTTCAAGAACAAGTCAACTCGGTTAATAACTGAGTCGGCTGAGTTGTGTAATTTCAAGGTTCTGAAAGTGATTAGCCTCGGCCTGATTGAGTTGACCGGGTTGAGAAGGGAGTCGGCTCAGTTGAAGACTGAGTCGGCTGGATTGAAAATTGAGTCGGCTAAGTTGAGGTTTTCAATTATGCAACTCTCGGCCAATATGAGTCGGCTGAGTTCAAAGACTAAGTCGGCTCAGTTGTATTTTAGCAGAAAATCAAAATTGTTTGTGGTCTGCAACAGGCTTCTGCACAGGACTTATGTACACAGCTTATTTCCATTGAAAACATTTACTTTAAGTTTACAATGTAAATAAGGAAGTATCCCCCATTTGGATTCAATAAAAAATATAAAAAAATTGAAATCCTATTAAATCAAAATGTGAAAATTCAGTTTTAGTACAAATTGGGGTTCCCGGCAGTTTTGGTAAAACTTGATCCTCCATGTAGGCTCATGTAGAATTGATGAAAAAATCCCATAAAATCAGTTTAGGCTATTTGAAGTGTAAGGAGTAATTACCGGGAAAAATTATCTTGGAAAAATGTTTTCTTCAAAAATTCATTTTTCACACTTAGCCAAAAACACAGTTTTCATGATGCGCAGACAAGGGTCATAAAGTCTGTTACCAACTTATGGTAATGAAGGCTTCTCATGCCTTAATCGTTGACCAATATGAATCATGTGATTGATGTGCATGGTCTTAGCATTTCTAGCACAAGTGATGAGTTCTTTATAAGTTTATGCAAGCTTGAACTAACTCATTCTTTTAGCAAAGACTTCATGTGTCAATTATATGAATGAAGTGCATAGTCTATTGTTAATGGATATAGGAGCATATGAATGATGCATGATATGCATGGTCCTATAGAGATGAGCTTCAAATAGATTCATAAATACCTTGACAATAAATTCTAAACACTCACCAACCTGTCTATCCCTTTCTTCATGCTTTGTCTATGATCGTGTAGGCTTTTAGGTAGACTTGCTTCCTTCCTTTATTTGAGTTGCTTTCTTGCTTGTTGTAGTCCAAGCTATCTTTGGATGGAGTTTGCATTTGGTTCCTTGCAACTTCATTTTCCTTTGCTTTCCATAGATGTGATCTTGAGTAATGGAATACTTGGAATGGTCTTTACGATTTTCATTGAGGTTCTTCTTTGAATGTAAATCATCTATAACAATGTAAACATTAGTCCTTAAACACCATTAATGGTTTGTTATCATCAAAATGCATAGATTGTCCTTGGATGGAATCCTTATGGTCAACATCTCTCTCTCTCTCTCTATATATATATATGGGACACATATCAAGACCCTCTCTAATTTTGGTGGAATGGTATATTGTTGGACACTTGGACTGCCAATCAGCTGTGTAATTAGAATGAGCCTTTTTTTTTTTTTTGATTCCTGGGATTTACCTATATTGATGATGCATAAGTAGAAATTTGCAATGAGATCGTTGAACAACCCAGAGAAGAGAAATTCTTTATCTGCTTATCACATCAGTTCCATCTAGAATAATATTGTTTAAAATTCACTGCAGAAGTTGATATCTAAAAGAAACAATGAAAGCAAATATGGAAGAGAGAAAATTGTTCAAAGAGAGAGGGAGAGGGAACAAGCCTAATAAATTTTTTTTAATGGAAAAAAAAAAAAAAAAAAAAAAAAAGGAAAAGAAAAAGAAGAAGATGATGGAAGCTTGACACCCGTTTCACAATGACGGATGCATTTATCAAGGAGAAATAGTTGATGAGCTAAAATCACACTGCACAGTCTACAATATGCTTTTACTTTAAAGGAGCTAGATATGGAGGGGAAGTCATCAATTCCCCTACAATTTTTCATGCATTTGATTCATATTCGCTTTAGGTTGAGAAGTGGGCGGGGGGTCGACTTCTGGAAGGATGTGTGGTGTGGGAATCACTTGCTAGAGTCCATCTATCCGCGTCTATATCAGATAGTCGTGGACAAGGAGGAGTTGGTGGCCAACTTTTATCGCCTTGATAGTGGGAGGTTGTTTTGACATATTTAGTTTGGCCCATTCCGGGATTTGGAGCTCGGAGACAATGGTGAGTTTCTGGTTGTGCTGTATCGTCGGGAGCTGGGATGTGGTGGGGGGCGGGGAAGGGGAAGGGGTTTGATGTTTGGTGTTGGATGGAGGCCAATCATGGGATTCTAGAGCTGCGTTCTTTCTGCAGGAGTCTGACGGATGTTTGCGGGCCTTCCTTTCCTTGGAAGGCAGTGTGGCGCACCAAGGCACTGCTCAAGGTGTCCTTTTTTTTGGTTGGACGGTGGTCCTAGGGAGGATTTTGACCATTAATAATCTGGGGAGGAGGGTTCAGATGATGGTTAATTGGTCTCTTGCATTGCCTGGTAGCTCAAGATTGTTGGGCTATGCTTTTTCCCCTTTTTGCCCTTTTTTGAGTTATGCCAGAGTCCTGCAGAGCATGCTTGAGACTTAGGGAGGGTGTGCAGTGAGAGTGGCGCCCTAGATACTTGGAGGGTGGCACCCTTTTGCCTATGGTGGGGGCTGTGGCAAGAGTGGAACAAGTGGTCCTTAGATGGAGTCGATGTTCCGGTTTGGGTGCTTAAGTTCTCTGTTCTTTATACTTTAATTTTTAGGGGTTCACGGATGGAATTGTAAATCAGTGGAGAATAGTGTCTTATGTGGATCCATCGATTGTATAGCAGACCCCTTGGTCTAACCTTTGCTCTTATTATGTGCTCCCTGCACTCGTTATTAAAATAGTGGAATGTACATGCATGAGGCGAAGAACTAATGAAAGTGAAAATTATAGAAGAAACTGTTGTGCCTTTTTCCTTTTCCTCATAAATTTTATGCATCTCAGGTTGCCATATTAGCAGAACTGATCGGTTCCCGGAAGGCATCGGAAGAGTTATTGATGATGTACTACCCCTTCATGGGTTTTGCAGTTTTAGCCATTCTGCGCGGCCTGCTACCTCACTCTGGCAAGACTACCGCAATGGGCAAAAGACCTGCATTGAATAGGAAAAAGAAGGCTTGATGTCTTTCAACTTGGCGACTGATATTTTCTGTTCCTCTCATCTTTAGAAAATTTCCCATTCCAGTTTTTTTGCAGTTGGCTGATTTAAGTTCATTATGCATCAACTGAACTGAAGTTATGAACAAGAATCATTTGTAAATTGATTTTGTTACAAGCTACGATGATATCCACAGAAGTTTGAACAAATGCTGGTTTATGATGAGTTCCAATTATGGCTGTTATGAAATTGATGCAAGTCTGTATATATATATATATATATATATATATAATAATCATTAAGCAGGGTAAAATACCAAGCTGTTCATGTTTGTTTGCGTGAAAATACATCTTAGTTCTTATTGTTATGCTGCGATTGTTTTCATTAATTTAGGAATTTATAGGCTTCAAGAAAGAATTATATTATTGGGTTCTCTCTTTGTAGGCTTAGCTCCATAAGGTGATCTTCATATATATATATATATATATATATAGTTTTTATTTTTGTTTTTCAAAGGTGGTCTTCATAAATCAAGTGGTAAAATAATACCCCTTTTAGTTTCTCAGGAGATCATTTTTTCTTTCTCCCCTTGAATAAAGTTTCAATCATCTAACCTTCAACTTTCTTCTCTTATTGGTTCCCTCCATGCATCTCTTATTGGTTCATCCTAATATCAGTAGATTCCCATTTTTCTGAATTCACATGCATGTGTATTTGGAAACTCAAAACCAAATGGATATTGACACAATTTGATTAATTACATTTACTCGTAAAAAATACCAAGTCAGTTGATTTTTTTTACAGTTTTGCACAATTTTTACTAGGGAGTTTGATTCTGGGTAGTCACAACAGCCCTTGTAGCTGTCTAACATGGTCTCAACCAAAGTGATTACATTAGTATGCAAACAAACAGAAACAACTTGTTCACATGCTTGATTTAACCAGATATTTTTGGTCCCGATAGAGACGGTCTGGACGGAGTTTATGCCCTCCGTAGATGCACCATCAATGCAATAAAAGTTTATGATCAGTCACATTCAGTTCTCAAAGTTGTTGTTGAATTTAGCTGTGAACATGGGAAAGTTCCAAAACTTGCAATGGCAGATCCAGAGGACTTGATGAGTAGGACGGACAGATGTGTGCAAGATGATGATGATGGAAGAGACTATGACACAACAAATCATCTTCAGTTCATTCCAAATATTGCTAAATGTTAACACGGCTAGATTTCATTTAGGAACATGTAAAATGACTTGATTATACGTGTGGGAACACTCACAGCCACAAATTCAAAGGTCATACATCGCCGCCCCAACTCTCTCTCCCTCCTCTCTAACTTTCTCTCTCTAACAGGTTTGTCTTTTCACTCTGCCTCCCTGTTCCCTTTCACATAAGTGGGGAGATAAAGGCCGCCTCTCGCTGCTGTAATAAATTCGGTGCGCTCTATGGGTGTTTTTTTACGCCAGTTTTTTGTTTTTTCGGTTAGATCTGTTTATGTTCGGTTGGTTTTCAGATCACATGGGCAGATTTGTTGTTTTCTCCGATTAGATCTCCGGTCTAGATTGGTTTTGGTTTTCCTCGTCTCGATTTAATTTTTTTTTCCGTAATTTGATCTTGTGTGGAGTTTATTGGGTGTTGGAGCACCTTGTGGTTGTAATTTTGGAGTGGTTGCTGTGTTGATGGCCAGACTTTTCGATCTCTCCTGTTTGTTGCGTTCTCCCATGGTGATTCTGTTTATAAAGTGTTGGGTTCTGTTTCTTCCATAAATTTGGAGCCTGTTCTTTATTTATTTGTTTTACTTTAAAATTTATATATATTTTTTTTTACTTAATTTGATGCCTTTGTACTATCATCTTGACTTTTGACTTTTGTGCATGTAATATGTTGCCAAGAAAAATCACTTTGTACTCTCAAAATTTGACAAGTATGAAAATGATCTTCAATTACTGTAAATAGGGTCCAAAGTAAATGTATATATAACATGCGGTTTAGGAGATGACATCTGTAAATATGTATAATACTAAAATTGGAAAAAATAAAAATAAAAATTAGGTTGAAAAAGACATGCACAAGTTGGTTGAACTTCAATTGAATGATTTAGAACATGAAAGCAACTCTGACGATTGTTATGCAAACATGGTGGTGTTATGTCATATTTTTATTCAACGGCTTAAATTCATTTGAAATAGAGTCAATGGAGAATATGATTATTTATTTATTATTATTATTTTATTTTATGTCACAAAACAACATTGCATAGGCATCACAATTTCATAGACAAAATGAATATAATAAGAAAAAAATTATCGCACAAGGCAGGCACTAACACTAATATCTCGAATAGTATATATTTAAACAGGTAAAATAAAATTTGATCAAAAAATGAGGTAAGCAGATGATATTATTAATTGGCTTGTTTCTGATTAAGAATGAATCTTCTCGAATTTCTCGAATTTATTTTAGAAAATGTGTGAGCATATCTATGCTTTGAGGGATATTTCAATTGAATTAATTCTGATGCAGATTAAAAAAAAAAAAAAAGTCTGATCAGTGGTAGAAGTATAAATTGATTTTTAGTAAATTGATTAATATTCAGAAATTGCAAGTTATTTGTGAATGGGGATGAGAAGCCCCACCACCATGGGCTTCATTTAATTAATAAGCCATGGACAGGGAAACACTAACCATACTTAAAGAGATTGCTGGTGATATAAAAACTACTGAAAGATCATTTTGGTTACAATATGATTTCAATGCAGTTGATAAGTAACTGAGATTTTAGTTGAAGTTTTAATACTGTAACTTTTTAAATTTGGTCAAATTTAAGTATTTAACTGTTGTTGTCTGTTTGTATTATTTTAATATGCCAAATTTAAGGTCTTTTTGGTGCTGTATTGGAATTTGGATCAAAGGGCAACGTTAAAATAAAAAAAAATAAAAAAAATGCAGGTAATTTGATGAAATGCCGAAACTTAGTCTATAATCCAGCATTTAGGGTACCCACATGGGTTAAGTTGTAATCAGATTAAGCCCTGAATTTGCTAGGTCTTGCCTGGTGCACGTGACTTATGAAATGTTGCGTGTCCTAATGTAGATTAGTCTCATCTGTAAGGGTGAAAATACTTTCACGGTATATATATATATATATATCCAGCATTTGGAATTATGATTGAGTTCAAATTAATTTTTAACTCCATGTAGCTGAATATCCAGTCAAAGTTCAACTCTGAAAAATGAAAATTTGGTCCACCATTATAATCACTATTTGTTAATATGAAAAATGTACTTGATGATTGAAAAAGCGAACAGTTGGATGTTATAACACTGAATTCATCTATGCTGAAAAAAATTCTGATGCCTTGTTCAGATTGAAAGTAACAAGCATGGAATGTTTCTCATTAAAGTAGAATCATTTTACAAGCCTAGTTGACATAAAATACAATAATCAGACTGAGAAGCAATGACAAGGAAAATGAAGAGGCATAAATTTAAATTCTGCAACATAACTAACTGCTCAATACATTACAGCATAGAGAGAAATCTATATTATACATCTAAGCCCTCTTTTAAGTGTAGAATTATATTGTTGATGATTCTCAATTCCCATAGTAATAATGCTCTAGCCGTCCATTCTACTGCTTTGCCTGCAAAAAAAATGCAGTAAATGCAAACGTGTGAAGTTAAAGCAAACGACACAATATTAAATGTAACCAGGTTCGAACACTCGACCCCTTCTTTGAAGAGGAGAGATCATACCATCTGAATAATCAATGTATTATGAGAAGTCGTATTCAATTGTGAAAGAGGAAATCAAATATACCTGCGAATATAGGAAAGTTCCGAAAATTGCAATGGCAGCTCCAAGTGCATTGATGGGGCGGATAGGGGTGTGGAAGATGATGATGGAGGCGACTATGACAGAAATCCTCTTCATGGTGTTCCCAATGCTAAATGTTAAGGGTGAGATTTCATTGAGAGACATGTAGGAGACTTGATTGTAGAGGTGATAGAAAACACTCTGGGCCACCACCCACCTAGAAAACCGCAATTGAGAACATCATTTTAGCAAATGATGCCAAAGAAAACGATGTGTAGCTACTCTCCGCTTTATGTTACACAAGCAAACAGTTTTCAAAACGCATCTACACAATTAGGAATGCGGAAATTCTTACCATACGAATTGGGGTCCAATCATAATGACTGCTCTATGCCAGCCAATTGCCCACATCTGAGGACCCTCCACAGCAATTGCAAATGGGGTGAGAATGAGAAGAGAGAGCATAGAAAGGCAAGCATAGTAGTTCATCCCACCCACAGATTTTCCCTTCATGCCTTTCTTTGAGAAAATGTTCCGAAAAACAAACGCCAAGTTCGATATCATAGCACCCATAAATCCTAATATAAAAAAACAGCAAGTCACAAAATTCACGAGTTAATACAAAAATTAGTATAGTATACAGCAGACAAATACAATTCAAAAACAGTACAGTTTTCTTGCTCACCAGTCATGTTGAAATTGAGCTCGGTGACCGCGGTAAGTGCACAACCTCCGATGATAGGCAGGAGTGACAGGTACACCGGCATCGGAAAAGCCTCACCCATTAGGAATCTCGAGACCAAAACACTGAAAGCAGGCTCACCACTCTTGATAATGTGAGTGAATGAAACTGCAACTTTGGACATACTAACTGTTGCAGCCACATGCCCAATTGTATGTGCCATAGCAACCTATACAACAACAATAACCAAAAGCACACCATCAAACAATTAAAATCCAAAATCAAAGAAATAGAAAACTGTACAAAAATCTGCTCTGTTGATAGTTTTTTTTTAGAACTATTTTTTGAAAAATGTTTGTTAAGTGTCATTTATAATTTTTTAATAACTGTATTTCTGAGTGACAAACAAAGCAAGCCCATAGAATGTAATTAAAAACTAAAACTCATTCTTTCTTTGCTTACAGGAAACAGAGTTTTCCAGAACTCGAAATCGGTCTTAGGCGCTTCAGCAATCCTTGCAGCCCATGAAACCAGCATGATCAGAGACCCCATTGCCAGAGACAGAGTTGAAGTAAGCCAAGGGAATGGAAAGGCATTGAGGACCTTCTTGTTGTAGATATTGAAGACGACATTCAAAGCCCACCATGTTGCAAAGTAGATGCCAATCTTGAGCTTCTGAGCAGGTTCTTGTTGAGCATGTTGCTGTAAATCGATGTTAATTTGTATGGGCTGTGATCTTTGGGCTTCATAAGCATTGCATTGGATTAAAGACACTCGAGGTTTTGAATCTTTTGGTTCATCAAAGTAGCCGAGACCTTTAGGAGACGAAATGCGGAGAGATTTGTGTGGTAGAAGATTGGTTTTGTTGGAGTTTTTGAAAGCGAGGTTGGAGGGATTGGATGAGAGAGATGTGGAAGCCAAGGATTGTTGTTGGAAGTGATCAGAAAGTGTAGCAGTTGCATAGGATTGCTTCAGAGAGCAAGACATGTTGTTAGTGTGTGACTGTGTGTAAAATGTAGTGTCTTAAAATATACCTCCTCCTTTGCTGTGTGTATTTGTAGTGTTTCTTGAAGTGGTGGGCAAAGCATGGAAAATGACCCTTGGGTCTGTGGAGGGTTAACTGTAGTTGTGCTGTCTATCAACCGACCGCAAAAGGCAATTCAAGTGGATTTTCTATTTCTGTTGCCAATTTGGATCTTTGCTGGACGGCATGGTAGACGGCTGTGCTTAACACACAAACCTTTGGTGCAGTACAATGTCTTGGAATATTTCGGAACAATGCTCATTGGCCTAATTGGTAGAGCGCTCATATCAGGCGTTCCCTAATTTGTTAGGGACCAAAAAAAAAAATAATAATAATAATAAAAAGTCTTCCCATTTCTTGAACAAATTATTATTTTTATTTTATTTTATTTTTAGTCCAAACTGTTTGTAGAACTGTTGAAATAGCAAGTGAAGTCAATGATTGGGCTCTTATTGACTGTAGGTTTCATATCTCAGGTTGAGTTAGGCCTGGTCCCTAATTTCATTTAAAATGAGTTGTGTTTCTGTACGATCAGTGGGTACTGTGTGTTACAAGAGATTTGTATTCAAAATCTATTGTTGTCTCAATTTGAATTCAAATGAAAAAAGTATTTGAGTATAAATTTTTTAATTAGCGCAACAAGCAACCAATCCATGATCAGAATCCGACCCATCCCACTGGAAAAAAAAAAAAAAAATTTAAAATAATACTAATAATAATAATTTGTCCGAGTTTTTGTTATAAACTGCAAACAGTGATTGGAAAATAATGTGTGGGTGAACTTGGATTTTAGAGAGTTCTGGACAAAAGAGAGAGACTAATCGAAAGCCCAAATGGCAACCAAAGGGAGTCGAAAGCCCAAAAGGTAACCAAAGGGAGTCGACAACCCAAAAGGAAAGCAAAGGGCCCAAGAAGAGCAAAACCGAAAAAAATAAACATCTTGCTCGTGGATTACTTCAGAAATAAGGATATGGCCCATAACAATTTGAATTTTGACTCGTTATATTCAAGATATTCAATATTTATTACTTTTTGACAAAAATTTCTATTTTATTTCTACATGTCTCAAATTTTCCCTTTTACTTCATAGTAAATTAAATTTCCATACCAAAATTTTAATAGAAATTATAATTTAAAATTTTATTTATAATCTAGAAAGAAATAAATGAAAATTTTCGTTCAGCTTCAACAGTTCAATTATGTCAAATATATCCAAGCACTAAAGACCTTGTGTTTAGTGATATTTCCTTTACTACTCACCCAAAGTGGGTAGTAAGAGTTCAAATTTTCAAATGAGCAAAATAGGTATGTGTGAGTCTCTTATATATATATATATATATATCCAAGCATAAGGTATTGTATCTATTATGTCATTAAAGGTACTACTCTAATAAATTTCTATTTTGATGTATCACTGCAATTTGTCTAACCATTTATTTTCCTATTGTGACTGTTAATAGTAATTCATAAGTAAATAAGCAATATGCAATTCCAACCAATATATCCAAGCATAAGATATTGTATCTATTATGTCATTAATAAATTTCTATTTTGATGTATCACTGCAATTTGTCTAACCATTATTGTATCACTGCAATTTGTCTAACCATTTATTTCCTATTGTGACTGTTAATAGTAACATTAGTAAAGTAACATAATAACTAAATAAGCAATATGCAATTCCAACCAATATTTATTTAGTAGAAAATTTAAGGGTTATAGAGATAGATATCATCCACATTCATGCCATTAAATAAGATGGGCACATCATACAGTGACTGACAATTGTGACACTAAAATAAAATTTTCACTTTATTGAAAAGAAAAATATAAATAAATAAAAATAAAGAACATTCCTCATGGCTTGATTACAAAGAATATGATGTTGGTGTGGTTGGCTTTATTGGCACATTGGGCTTGTGGTACCAATATGCCTGTCCCTTTCATAAACTAGACACCAAACACTATTAAATAATTATTTTATTTTGAAATTAAAATGTGGACACTATAATGCATATAAAATCCAATCTGCAACTTATATATCCTGCATCGATATCATTATTAAAAGAAGTCCCCATTAATTGTCAGATTAATTACATTTCGTTAGGTGAAAATTCTAATATAAGAAGTAATGAACTCAAACATATAAGTAAGACCCATCATTATCTATCTATATATATGTATAAAAGAGAGAGAGAGAGAGAGAGAGAGAGAGAGAGAGAGAGAGACTTTCAAGCATGTACATCTAGTGATGGATAAATTAAGGGTTTTGATAGTTGTTTTTTAAAAGGTAAGTGCTAGTATTATTTACCTACATTAAATCTTGATATATATATATATACACACACACTCACATATTGTTATATACAGTCAATTTTATAAACAAAGTAATATTTAGGCACAAACAACAAAGCAAAACATTGTAACAAGCTATCAAGTACATGATTCATGTTTCAATACTTCAACATGTTTAAGGGTCCATTTGACATGCGTTTTATTTTAGGCGTTTTATTTTTGGCTAAAACAGAAATAGTTTTTTTGCAGTATTAATATTTTGAAAAAAAATCAGAAGCACGTTTGGAAATGATGTACATTTGGGAACGATATTTTGTTGTGGAAATATCGGAAACAGAAATAGAAACATGCAAAATATGGTTTTGAGTCATGAACAGTTGTCAAAATAAGAAAAAATAATTTTTTAGTGTTTTGGTTTTGAGTCACTGTTCACGAAGTGTTTGAGCACTGTGTAAAATAAAACAAGGCCACACCAAACATACTTTTATTGCCATAATCGACATTGTAGTTTGTAACAGTCCAAAAATAAAAATAACAAAAACAAAACGCATGTCAAACGGGGCCTAAAGATTTACTATATCAGTGTGGCTATTTATGGACGGTAAGAAAACATATATTGCTCTAATGGATCGACTTACAAGGTGAATTGAATGGTTATAAATCTCAATTACCAATATTGTGCCAATGATTGGAACAAAGACCTTCCATCAATATTAATTTGATCCTTGACTGATGTTCATAGGCCTTGATTGTAGTCCATTGTTCTAGTGGAACAATTGAATAATTAATGGTGCCATCAAATGTATGATGTGACGTTTCAAATTTTCACAAACCCGAATGTGTCAATGTGACTCGAGAGTTGATCCGATAACGGATTCGGAATGAGGAAGCAAAAAAATATAAAACAAAGTCCTTAGGGATGCACAACATCCTTAGGAAAGCCAAGTGACTTTCCATGAAGTCACAGAGCACAACGAAAACAAAAGCGAAAGCAAAAGACTGAAAATGGACTAAGTGTGCCCCAAGGGCAAAATAGTCAAATCACAATTAGAACAGAAAGATTTGACTCCAAACAAGTCAAATGAGGTTCATACAACCTAATCTAATCATTTCATAACATTCCCAGAGGTTCTAGAAACTTTGGCCAAGAATCCCACAAAACACTCCTTTTCGGTTGAAGAAAAATCTGACATTGTCTCACAAAAAGATGAATAACTCACATTGTGATTTGAATCTGAGAATGGAATTGGTACTATTGGAAAGCTGACTCAAAATTCTTGAATTTAGGCTCAAGAATGACCCCATTTGGATTAGAAATGACAAAGTTATGACAGTTTGAAATTCGAGAAACAAAGCTAGCCAAAACAAGTAAGAGCTGAGAACCAGGGGCATTTAGGTTGACCGAAATGTCATTTCGGTCGACCGAAATGAACCCAATCATTTCAGTAGACCGAAATACAAGGGGGAGGCTACCGAAATGAAGCCCTGAGCTTCGGTAGGCCGAAATAGGGAACCGGTTGATCGAAACAAGGCTAAAGCTACTGTAAAATGCATTTTCAAGGCTTAAATGAACTTTTTTGGACAAAACACAAAAAAGAAACCCCTCTTTAAAATCACGTTTTCTAGATGACCATAATGAAAGGAAAATTTATTAATAATCTCTATTCCCATATTTCTAACAAGTTGAAGGAAGTGAAGCAACTTAAAACTACACTAATCCTTTTCATAATCATTAAATAAACTCAATATTAGTAATCTCTATTCCCATATTTCTAACAAGTAAAGTAAGGTATTATTTTCTCCGTTTCTTCCGTCCAATCAAAGAAAAAGAAGGAATGAGTAGAATGACATTAACTTTAAGTTTTTTCAAAAGATGAAATCCTACTTTCTTCTTTCCCTTCCATTTAATTTTTATCATTCCTACCAAACTAAGCATTAATGTTTACCATTCAAACAAATAAAAAAATTAAGTACTACAAAAACAAAGTGAGAAAAATCAGTAGGCAATAACAAATTAGTAAAACAGAGATGGACTCAGAATTATTAGAGCAAAATATTTCAATAGATCTTAAAATGGGGAAAAGGGGTACATGTCTATTACAAATTTAAGCTTTTCCAACAACCAACACTTTAAAACACACAAACAACAAGGGAACAAACACCAATATTACATAACTGAAATAGCACAATACAAAACGCCCTAGACCTAAGACACGAAAATTAAAATGAAAAAGGTAAATTGAAATTCTCTCTCTCTCTCTCTCTCTCTCTTACTCTATATATATATATATATATAATAAATTCTTCATATATCTTTTACATTGTTTGGAGAAGTCAATACCCGAACCCATATCATCCTTGCAAACTAAATCAAGCTGAAGGGATGACTCCCTGCACACGCACCAAACACCATGCATGGTTCAAAAGGAACACACACAAGGTGCGTTCTTGACTTCTTTCCATCTTCTATATATATAGCTCAGTATCCACCATCTTTCTCTACCATTTTCCCCTTTTCCTCTCCTTATTTTGCTCTATTTTTTTACTGTAATAACAGAGAAGAAAATTCAGTTCGATTTTTGCAAATAATTCAAAGAAAAAAAAATTAACAATAACATTAACTGATGAGTAGAGTAGAGATAGAGAGAGGGGCATGGCCTGCTTGGTTCTGTTTTCTCAAAACGTTTTCTATTTTCGAATAACTAAAAATCAGAGAAGTGTACAGAAATCTGTTTGGGCTTTCTAAAAACTAAAGGGTTGTTATAGTTCTCTAAAAACCTTTTTTTTTGTTTGGTTTAGCTTGAGAACTACTTTAAAAAAAACTAAATCAAGCAGCCGAAGAGTATGCTACTAGCCCTACAACTAAATTTAGAACAAAAGCCAAAAATTTATTAGTGAAACACTAACATGTGATATACATTTCCATGACTAATTAAATTTACCTGCAAATTGAGTCTTATTAATGAAAATCATATGTTGTCGCCTGGCACTGCAGCCTTAATCCGATCCACGGTACAATTGATGAGGTTGTTGACAGTCGCGACAGATCCAAGAGAAAGCTTTGCAGTAGGAGCAGAATCGACCAGAATCTGAAACGCGACAGTCAGTAGAGTTCCACCGGTACCAGCATGAGTGATGCCTCCTGGATTCACTGTAGGTCCATCAGGAAGTATAGCGAATCCTGAGGGAAGAAGAGCCACATAGTCCGGGTCTCCACCGCATAGTACCACATTCATTGCAGTAATATCCACAGGTGCATAGATGACAAATGAGGCTGTTGGGTCACTGGAACTTTCTTGTAGTATCAACATGTTGCTCTGGGTTGAATTGACACTCTGCGAAAAGTTTTTATATAGGTTTAGTTGGTCATTCAATGTTGAACCAATTAACAATAGTGATGAGAATGTAAATTGGTTAGTGAGAAAATGAATCTGCAACTTACATTGACTCGCAATAGTGAGACACAGTTACCAGGTTCTCGGCCATTAGCAATGTGTGCCATTTCTTGAATAGCTCCTCCATTGGAAAGAATGTCCCACTGTGATTGCAGGCATTAAGAAGTGAGAATTACATTTATTATTATGAAATTTCAAGAGATTTTATAGAAGTACATATTGATGAATTATCAAATGTTTATATATGTTGTTCATGCCATGCAACATATCTATAGTACTCCTGAAATTATAACTGATCTACAAAATTGAGAAAAATCCAAATTAATTTACAAAATTGAAGATCCATTACTACTGTTTATGTTATATTATTATCAAACTTTTACTATTTCATGAGCCAAATAAAATGAGTTATATATGACTAAATGTTTTTTTGATCCAAATGGCTCACTTAATCTAAGCATTTTTATACTATAAAGAAGAAGAGGCATTAAGGCTTCAGAATTAACATTATATACCGCATTCCGGGAGTTCTCATCACGGAGGAAATCAAACACAGTCTTTGGTGTAACTGGAAGCCAGAAAGAAGTAGCTGCACTTAGCACAATGCCAGGAGGACGGCCGGGATCAGCAACGCTCTTCCTGGTCATGACCCTAATATCATCAGCTCCGCTTCCAGATAGCGTCGTCCATGTGTGAGCAGTTGAAGCATTCACTCCAGCACAGAAGCTTATTACCATTCTCTCAGCCAGCTTCAACATACTCTTTCTTCCTTCCGTAGTTGTTATCACTTTGTGATGAAAAAAATAAGGATTGTTTCAACATCAATTAGTCCAAAATTTTTATGTCAACATAAAATTTGTTGAGACAATTAGTACTTGCAGTGTAATCACCTGAATGACAAATATCGTTGGTTGGAAAATTTGTTGCCAAAGCACTTGCAAGGCGCTGACATTGTCGATCAAGAGTGGCAATCCAACGCTTTGCCCCAAATGCAAGACCAGAGTGAACTAGGGGCTTGTATAAGTTATGGACACCGCGATCGTCTACTTCAACATGCTCAATCCATGTAACCTAATGGATACATAACCATTTGAAAGAAGAAGAAAAAAAAAAATAATAAGAAGACTAACAATGAAGTAAACTGAAATCACAAGTTGAGTACGTTTAATTGTTGTTACCCTTGAGTATCCATTGGGCATTTCTTGAATGAAACATCCAGATGGCCTTCGCCGGCATCTCATTATTGGACTAGGGCGTAAACTGTCCAGAGAAACATCAACCACTGCCCATGTGCCATCACCATGGTGTTTACAGTACCTAACAAAGTAGTTCTCACGAGTAGGAACAATCGGCGAAGGGACTTGAAATTCAGCAGTCATCTGAAAAATCAAAAGTTTATTATGTACTATGTATTGATCAGATCCAAATTGGACATTTAAATGTCAGAAAATAATTTTCAGAAACTATCAACCCAACAGATTTTTCAACAGTTACTGATCTAAACATGCCCTAGAGTTTCATATGAGCAAAAAAAAAAAGTCAAATTTACAAAATTGATAGTGAAAGTGAAATAAATATTTTACCACTTGCAGGGCACCATTATAATTTCCTGCTACTCCAGTTGATAGGACTTCAAGGGTCATAGCTCTTGAGACGATACCAGAAAACACAGTCGACCATTGATTCTAATTATTGTAAAAGAAAGTGAGAATTAGGTCTAGTATATATCTTCATAACAAAAGCTATTTAACTTTATAAAAAAAATCAAGGGACATACCACATCCATAAGAATCTCAACAAGGCTGCTGTGGTTCATTATAACAACACAAGTTTCACGCGATGATTCGCATCTGAATCCAGTAGGTTTGGGGCCGATTCCTCTTGGAAATATCCTCATGTATTCATCTTCATTTAGCACATAGGAGCTGCTATCAATTACTGGCATCCACAAAGGGTCACCCATTTGTGCCATTCGGGTTAGTTCCTCCATGGCTGCAACCGCGAGCTCGATTATCATTGGCTTATCGGCCTCAGTAGGACCACCACTGAAAGACTTGAGTAGGTCTCCTGCTCCATACAGGTCCTCCACGAGCCCTGTCTGCCCCCCAAAATGGTTAACCCCAAGGTCAAGTGCACGGGGAGTAGCTGGTGGTGAAAGAATAGGGTAGTTCACCAAGGGCTTGCCAACATACTTTGCAGCTATGGCTGCAATGCGATCAATCTAAAACCAAAAGATTTAATCAAAAAAAAAAAAAAAATTGTAACATTGTACATCAACGTTATAACATGCAAAAAAGAAAAAGCAAAAAAAATGAAACAACTATGGACAGGTATGTTTATTAAGTACTAATAGTACCTCTTCTCTTAATCGAACATTTTCTATGCGGAGATGATGTTCGTCGAATGACATCTCTCCAATGGAAGCTGGGCCTCCACAATTGGGACAAGAGGCATTGCCAAAAGCTTCTCTGTACCTCATGTTGTCAGCACGAAGCTTTTCGTTCTCAGCTCGGAGTTGATTGTTTTCAAAGCGCTCATGCTGAGTCTATGTGTCATTAAAATTTCACCAAGAGAGATTGAATTTAGCAGAAGAAATTAACATGAGTAAGGTTGACTAATGTGAAACCACATTCCCTAGAAAAGACTAATTAGACATCGTAACGGTCCCTCCTGATTAGAAAAGTACAAATCATAGAAAATGGGATCCAAATTAATTATGGTATGTAGAAAGTTTAGACTGGAATACCTTCATTTGGGTGCGTTTGTTTTGGAACCAGAATTTGACTTGCAACGGCTCTAACCCTAATTCACGGCTCAGTTCCTTCCTTTGCTTGTCATCTGGGTGTGGACAGTCCTTGAAGAAACTAAAACCACCAAAAGTGAGAAGGTTTCGAGATCAGTTTTATTTTATTTTTTTATAAAAAATAAACAATGTAAAAGCAACCAATAAAAAAAAAATATATATATATATATATAATATATATAGAGATTGAATACTGATGCTCTAGTCGATAATTCAGACCTAACACATCAGCTGAAGGCCTTTATGTTATTAGACATGTTTAAGTGGTCGGGAATCATTAAGCCGAGCTTGAAACATATCTAACAGCAAATAAGCCGGCCAGCAGCTTATCTTTTAGGTTCGATTGAAATAACATTTTCCGTATAGATTTGCTAATATCTTACGACTCCATTTCTTGGATCTGATGCTGAGTGTGGCGGTGGTATCTCTTCTTCTTCCCCGGCTGATTAGGGTCTTGATCATCGCCGGAGGCACCATCTTGGTTCTCACTGCCGGATTTGCCGTCAAAATCTTCGTCTCTGATAGAAGAGAAATCGGTTTCGGATGTGGCTGAACCCATGATGAGTGGGTGTTGAAGCTGTCCTTCCATCATGTTTGGCTGGAACATATCTTTAAAGAGTATTGTTCTGCAAAATAGAAATAATTAGCACTCAAAATAAAGAAAAACAATAACAACAACATTTATATATATATATATATATGTAATAAATGTATATACACACAAACATAGAAGCTAAAACTGATATGGAAATAAAGAAGAGAAAACCCTATCTGATATATAGATAGGTAGTGTGAAATTGAGTGAGCTACAAAAAATTACAGTGTAAATAGAGCTCTATTTTGGTTATCAAAGAAAACCCATGTTGAAAAATGTATGAAAATGAGTAAGAGGCACTTGACCAGGATTAATTTGTAGGGCTAGCTATAATCTCTCTCTCTCTCTTCCCAAGAGAGAAGACCTCAACGCGTTTTTCGAATTTCGAGATGGATTATTCTTAGAAAGGCAAATTGACTTTTACTAATACCCCTTCACTGGCCTTGTAAACCATTTAAAGAAGAAAAATAAAATAATGGTCTGATCTATGTGACATCATGTTACATACATACATATATATATATATATATATATATATATATATATATTGATATAGAGATGGTGATGTCTATGTCATTATGATATATAGAGATGGTGATGTCTATGTCATTATGATATATATATATATATATAAATGGTGAAATGAAAAAAAACACAAGCATTAGTCATAGAAAGTTACAAATTAAGGTTTAACAAACAAGTACTAGTGAGAAGGAGTTGACTTGAACAAGGGTTGGACCTGATGGATATACAGATCCACCAACATACCCATTACTTCCGGTCATCCCAAAAAAAAAACCCTAAACAGTAAAGACGATGTGAGAGAGAGTGTGAATGTGTGGGTGCACACACAAATATATATTCTATCTCTGGGTTGGCATTGTTTTTCTGTCGGTTACTTACAGGGTTGTTTTGAAGTTCTAGTTTTCTCACTCTCTCTGGAGATGTATTAAGAACCTAATTAGTCGGAAAGACTCGAGTGAAAAATCAAGCACTCTCTCTCTATATATAAGATATATATATATTTTTCGTTAAGTATGTGTGTGTGTGTATATATATATATATAATATTTCTCACACAAAAATTTTCTACCTGCAGGAACAAGGTAGTAACGAAAATATATATCACACATGAAAAACAAATCAGAAAGATCACAAATGGTGGATTTGAAAAATCAGTGAAATTAAATGGTGGTTTTAAAAAGAAGTTCTTCACCAAATAAGATACTTAGACCTCAAACCCTATTCAACGGGTTACATCACAAATAGACTCCAAACTCAAACAGACCTTCAAGGATTGGTATCTAAAAACGAAGAAATGTGTATCACCATAGATATATACATATATATATTTGAAGTCAAAAGGAGTTGACTAATTGAAAGAAGAGAGTACTTTGTGAAGCTAGATAACTCTTCGAGAGCTCTTATGAAAAGAGAAAGCTTAGATCTGTTTGTGCACTATTTGAGCATGGTCTGGTCGGTATTTATAGGGCAAGGGGTAAGAAGCAGCCAAACGAGTACAGATGGAGAGATGAGGACGAAATAGAAAGCGATACCAATTCAAAAAACAAGTCAACAAACCAGAGAAGAAGATAAGGAGGAGATGAACAAGAGAAAGGAAAAGAAAGAGAATCAAAATCGAGAGAGAGAGAAAAGAGAATGGCCGGAGAGAGAAGTAGTGGAGGAAAGGGAGGTGAAAGGGGGAAAAACAGATGGAGAAAAATGTGGCAGCGAGGAGTTATTGCAAGGTCTAGAGAGATGGTGCATGGCATTAAATGGAGAAGAGGTGTAATTGCTCTCTCTCACACACACACACGCACACAGTAGAGAGAGAGAGCGTTTGGTGTTAAATTTTCCTACGGGTATACGGTGAAAAGAATGACGGCTACCAAACTATATACTGTAACTTATATATTTCAATATTACTTCCGGCCTTAATTGTTGGGAATTTGCTTTTCAATTCTTTCTATAGCATCATGATATATAGTTTTTTTCTTTCAACATTTGAATTGTGCTATTTTAATACGTATCATCAAAAGATGAATGAACAAAATCTTCTTTGCAGTGACCAATAGACGACGTTTACACACCACCTTTGCACTGTGCGAGGGTTCGAGTATGGTAAAAACAAAGTTACTATGTGAGTTACTTGTCGAGACAACTAAATAAATACTACGTAAAATAAAAATTGTTTTAGTACGCAGAATGTAGTAAGTTAATAAGTTAAAGTCATTGTAAATTAAATTTATTGCGTATAGATTACTGATTTTGTAAATCTTGTCTATCTCAAAAAATTGTCCCAATTCATTAGTTAAATGTAAAAAGTTCATGATAAAGAATTCTTAAGAATATTACTCTATTTAAAATTATATTTATGTAAAATAGTATACCGAAAATGAATTTTTAAATTGTCTAAGCAACAAATTATTTATTTCAATCATGGAAGTTACTAGTGCCATATATTCAAAATGTTTTGTCACCAATTTTCTTGACATTATAAAATGATCGATGATATTACATTTACATGCAGAACAAGTGGTGAAAAAGAATGCCGAAAAATTATTACTTCATAATTATTACATATTTCTCGCACAAACGACAATATATATATATATATATATATATATATATTTGGTAAGTAGGATAGGATGTATTAAAAAATATATATACCACCCGGATCCGTCTTAAAGTAGTTGTCCACTTCGAAAATTCTTGAGTCTCAATTTTTGTAAGTCAAATTTTCTGAAATTAACATCTAATATGGGACAGATATAGTATATAAGTATATAAAAAGAATATGACTAAAAATGACCTCAAATGACTCAAAGATAAAAAGTTGTAGTGAGTCAAAATTTTTGAAGTGGACAACTAATATAGGACAGGGGGAGTATCAACTTAGGAAGATGCGCCCTAAATGGCATATATGTGATACGAGGCCTAGTCAAACAATGTGGTAAAAATGATTAAAATAATTTTTTGAGAAGTTGCTAAATGATTAACTTGTGCATCATAAATAAATGTTAACGTTGCTCTAAGGTTTGATCCCTCGTTGTTTTTACCCCATAATTGCTTAGGTCGAATATAAAGTTAATCATCCAAAATGATGCCTCGAAATGATTTTGAACGTTGATAAATAATAATGACGCAAAACGATACTTTGAAATGATTTTTTTGAAAAGTTGCTAAATTATGCATCGATCATAGATAAATGAGAGTGTTGCGAAAAGATTCGATCTCTAGTTATTGTTACCACATTGCTTGGTTTAGAGATCCCGACTCGGAAATTCGCTTCGTACAAAACGACACATCGAAATGATTATTTGCCGACAAATAGTAATGACAGAAAATGGTACTTCGAAATGATTTTTTTTTGAAAACTTATGTACCAATCTTAAATAAAAGAAAGTGCTGCTAAAAGATTCGATCCCCGGTTATTTTTGCCACGTTGCTTGGTTCAGAGAGAAAAGTTAATCATAGAAAATGACACATCATAATGATTTTTTACATTGACAAATAGCAATGACGCAAAACGACACTTCAAAATGATTTTTTGAAAATTGCTAAATGATAAAATTGTGCGTCAATCATAATTAAATGAGAGTGTTGCTAAAAGATTCGATCCCCTAGTTGTTTTGTCATGTTACTTGGTTCAGAGAGAAAAGTTAATCATACAAAATAATACATCAAAATGATTTTTTTAAAAGTTGCATGATCAATGATTAACTTGTGCATCGATCATAAAATAAATTAGAGCGTATCTAATAGATTCAATCCACATTACTCAGTTCAAAGATAAAATATAATCGGATAAAACGAATGGAAAGAAGAGGCACATAGTTGGTACAAAATTTATCACAGAGCGGCATCACACATTTAAATTGACTTCATAGAGGTTTTTAAATGATTACCATGTACGAACGACAAATTGTGAATCCAGATATTATGACATAATATGAATAATCAAAATGGTTTTACGTTATGTAGTTGACCTTTTTTTCAGTAAAAGGTGAATTTTGTATTGATGAATTAAAGCAAACTATACAACTGAGGGAAAAACCAGCAGCAAAATCGCAACCCAAATGCATAAAAAACTCTACAAAGACCATAAGCCTATAAAATAGAGCCGCTAAGTAATTGAAAGAAGGCTAATAAAAGCTAGAACAAGATAAAAGAATTTATAATTTAACAAACTAAAAGAGCAAAGAACAAACAATATAATGTTCAAAAATACCTCATTACCTCCAGTCCAAACAATGAACTCAGTGATCAACGCAATTAGGATGAAGCTATTCTCTGTCAAGAAATTTGAATGCCCCTTTGCGAAAGAAATTGCAGCAGATTGGAATCTCCCAGCATCATTTTATGAGCCTGACCAGTCAAACCCCTTCTTCCATTTCGCAACCACCCAACTGACACAAACTCCTCCACCTCTACCACCACCATCTCTTCCACCGATCCCAACTGCCCAACACCCCCCCAACCATAACCCAGTAGTGTGGATACTTTATGGTTTGTTGATTCATCCCACCCGAGGATGTGATTGAAGGTAGTTAACTCTCTGGATGCAGAATGTTGTAACCTAGGCTTTTAGGCCTAGTCAGGCTTTGAAATTCCTTGTAGGTTTCCTTAGGCCACTATAGTGGACATTTTGTTTCTTGTGTCCTTACCCAGTAATGTCGGCTGAAAGATCTCCTTTGTAATTACTCTTCTTTTTAATGAATTACTTATTTACCGAAAAAAAAAGAACGAAAATGGCATTGGAAGAACAATGAGAGATTGCAACAAAGGGTGAGAGACAAAGAAGCGAGCGTAAGGAATATGAAGAAAAACTAATGAGGAACTGTCGAGGGTTTTCAATCTGTATTAAACTGCCAATCAGATAATAAAGCTTTTTTTTTTATAATATGCTGGGATAACTAATTAAGATGGGAAAGGGGGACCAATAATTAAAGAGTGTGAGAAAAAAAAAAATAGAAGAAAAAGGAAGCATACATCATGCTAGTTACTTTGTGTTTCAGGAAGTCAAAGGAAAACATGGGTTTCAAAGATTAGCAATCCAGGAAACAAGAGAATACCAATCCGAATGATCAATTTGAAAGCCACATAGAGTTTGGAAATGAATCAAAATACTAGAAGAAAAATGGCATTGGAAGAGTGGGAAATCGTGACCTAGGGTAAAAGACAAAATACGTAGTTGAGTGTTAAGAATATGGAGAAAGGCGAATGAGGAATTGACGAAGGTTTTCAATTTGTTTTGAATTGCCAACCATAGATGAAGCATTCTTTTGGAATATGATGAGGAAACCAATTAAGATGAGAACAACTAAATGAAAAGGCAGGAGAACCAATAATTGAATAGTGCGAAAAAATTTTATATGGAAAATACATCCATCTTACTAATTAGTTTGGGTTTTAGGAAGGCAAAAGAAGAGAATTAACAATGAAAGATTAGCAGTCCAGAAACAATAGAATCTCAATAGGTAGGATCAATTTGAAAACCACATAGAGTTTGGAAATGACTCAAAATAATTGAAGAAAATGCATTAAAAGAATATATGGGAAATCGCGACTTAGTGTGAGAAAAAAAGTAGTGAGGCAGGAACATTGTCAAATTATGCTTGTTGTGCTCTAGGAAAGATGAATCCTATGACCATATCTTCTTTAATTACATTTTTCCAAAAGAGTCTAGCAATTCTTTCAACACAATTGTGGTATCTATTCAAGTAAACAAAGTGTTATGGCAATTGCTGATTAGATTGCTAATTTTTGGAGCCCTAACTCAAAGTTTAGCAAAGCCATGGCTTAAAATATATGTTTTACGGGGATCATTTACTACCTGTGGAGAGAGACAAAAAATCGTACTTTCTAAGGGAAACACTTGACAGCAGTAAAGGTCTGCAAGTAAATTGAATAGTGTATTAGGTGCAAACTCTCCACTATTAGACACTATGATTGTACTATCTCGAGGGTTGTCGCTGCTTACTACTGGAGCTTTATGAGCTCTATGATAAGTGTTACACCTCCTTAGTAGTGCTTTGTATTATGGTTTTTGACTTTTTCCATTGCTTTGCTTCTGTTGTTGCTGCTGCTGTTAGTTGTGGTAGCAAAGTCTTATTTGGAATGGGTCGATTTTAGGGTTTATGGGTTTTGAGGCTTGCTTTTTGGGCTTTGTAGTGCCTTCAGGCCTTTTGGGCTTTTGCCCCTCTTTTGTACGCTTCCTCTATTTATACATTGAATTACCAAAAAAAAAAAGAAACGAGTGCTAGGAATATGCAAAAAGGCTAACGAGGAACTGTTGAAGGTTTTTAATGTTTTTTAAATTGTCGAATGGCTTTGTATGAGAAGGAGAAAACCTTGATGAGATAAAAAATTTAAAAAAAAAAAAAAAAAAACCAAATAAGTAACCAAAAGAGTGTCATCTTCAACTATAGAAAATCCCTTTTATTTATAACCGAGGATCTAGCCCTGAGAATAAAGCAATGCTTCTGGCATATCGATATAAGTAATACTAGATAAATGTTTCAATACTGCTTTAAATGTAATTATTGTACCACTAGATGTTATTACATTAACAAAGATTTCTCAACATAATCAATTATTGCTCTTTGTCGAATAAACGAGATTAATTGTATATATAGTTCCTATTCAGTATCCTTAACTCCGAGAATTAAGATTTAAATGAGTTACGTTGGGTAAAATCTTATAAGGATAAGATTTTAAA